AAAAAAAAAAAAAAGTAGTTGAAATGGTGGCAACAGTTTATCTGAATGGAACCCAACGTTTAGAAATTATTGGAATTATCAGTGGATGTATCAGAATGTTGTTATTGGTTGTTACTTCAGTTTTATTTTGCCTTCTTTTTTGGTTTTTGTTCTGTTTTTTTTTTTGCTTCAGATATCAGTATGTATGCATATGTAAAATGATAATATTCTGTTGCTGAGTTGATTGATTTTATTCACCTAAACAGTTCAGTTGTTTGGATGAAGCATAAAGATTCAATTTATGGTTCTGTGGTGTATCAGAACAGAACAAAGAAAAAAGAAAATTACTGTTTGATTTTTTATTTTTGTTCAAACAAACGACAAAAATTATCAATACTTTGATCTGTACAATTGAAAAAATACATTTACAGAACAATTATCTTTTTTTTTTCTTTTTTTTGCTTTATTGTTTCAAAAGTTTTTTTCTTTTATTCTGTTTTTTTTTCCTTTGTTCTTCAAGAAAAAAAAAAGACTAAATTTGACACATATAGTGTTATTTTTTAAGGAAAAAATTGGTTTAAAAAAATTAATGATAACATTGATAAAAAAAGAGTGAAAAATCAGAAATCAGTTTAGTTAAATTTTGGTCGATGTTATATTATTTTTTCTCTTCTGTTCTCTCGCCTTCATTTGTCTTTTTCTCTGCACCTGTTCTATCTCTCCGATATATTTAAGCATTACTTTTACAGAGTTTACTCGAAATTACGAAAAAAAATTTTTTTGTGTAGACGAATCTATAAATTTGCTAAAAATAATGCCACTTTTTGTGCTACTGTCCGTGTCACCACATTGATCGGAATTAATGGTGCAAATAAATGCTGGAATGCTAAGGGAAAAAGAGCTGAAGTAAAAAAGACTGTTTTGCTTATGCGAAGATTTGACTCTATCTCTCTATCTCCACTGTAAGCTGATAAACTGGTCAATTTATTTTACCCTGGATTTCATTGAAAGCTGTGATTGTACCTGTACGGTAGAGTGTTGACAAGGCACAGGAATCAGTTGAATTTTGATGCTAAAAAGCTGATAGAAATGACAAAGTTTGCTGATATTACAGATACATGTCTAAATCAGTCGGTAAAATCATTTAATGTACAAAAGTAGTTAAACACAGTTCGATGGTAGATTAAAAGCAGAAGTTTTGATAATTACTGTTGTCTTGAATAGAAGCTGAATAGAAATATCGCTGTTAAGAGCAAGCGGATCACTGAGTAATGAGAGATTCTTCTGTGTTTTCTTAAAAGTAAGTAAAATAATGGGTTATGCTCCCGGAATTCGATAAAGTAATTTCCTTATCAGCTATAGAGCATTCAAAATCTGCATTCCTGAGTTCTAAGCTTTTGTAGTTTTTCATCGTCACTGAATTTGCCTGCTATATTGGTTACTGATGTTAATGTTCAAAAATCGACTTTAATTCAACGTTATCTTGTTTCAGATTTCGGGTATGGAGGGGCCACGTTTACGTACGAAGCCTCCGCCTCGTGGTAACGGTGAAATAAGAACTGTTGGCGATGTAATGACATCAGTTTCCTCAGACTACTTAGATTACATAAAGGTAAGGGTTTAGTTTGTTATCGTTTTTTGGAGGTTATTTCAGCGTTTTTCAAATGAGACTGGTGAAACACTTGACTATTTTGTTTTGTCTCAAGTTTAATAAATCTTGTTTTCAGAAAAAAGACGCACTTCTCGGTTTTCGGCATTGGCTAATTATTTTACTCGTAATTGGACTGACATATGGTTTCATTGTTTTCCAAGATAACCGTATGCCAAATGTTGTTGAGAAAGAAAACTTGGAAAAATTTTCTGAAGCGCGTGCTAGAGATTTTTTGACTCAAGTAACTCGTTTGGGTCCCCGTCCCAGTGGATCTAATGCTTGTGAAGTATGTGTTGGACTTTGTTTTAAAATGGTTTTCGGGTTACTTGAAATTAGACAACTCGGTACTCTTTTTTGTGCAAACTGCTGTGTTCTCGCTAGTACTGCAGTTTTGAAGATTAAATTAGTTAAAAGAAGAACGTTACGTTACGATTAAATATATAGAAACTTCGTAAATCCTCGTTTTCTTGACATGAATTTTACAGTTCAATTTTTTGCTTCTTGATCCAATCTCACAGGTAGAACTTGATTTAGGTTGGTGCTGTTGAGTTGATCACTGATCGTCTGAAAAAGGCGGAAGCGGAAGTGAAGTCTCGCGGAAGAAACCGATTTGAATTTGACTTTCAGTATCCTTCTGGGTGTTATGACCTCAAATTTCTGTCATCATTTACGCTTTGCTATCATAAAATTACAAATATAGTTGGTTTGTCGTGCAAGTTGTTTATTTTTGAAACCTCTGTTGCTTTTGGCTTGATTTGGATTTCATTTAGAAACTTTATGCTTTTGACTCTGCACTTTTACTTTAAGTAGACCAATTCTTTTTAGCTCGAATAGGTCCAAAAACTCCTTCAAAACACGCGATTTTGTTGAACTGTCATTTTGATACGCTACCTGACTGCCCAGGTGCAACAGACGATGCTGTAAGTGGTTTCTATTAGATGGTTCTTTTAATCTTTTTGAAGGCTGTAAACTCTGCAAACTGAAAAGTTTCATAACAAAAGTTTAGTTATATTTTTTTTGATATATTTGAGTAGGTTTTAGAAGGCTTAGGTTGGAGAGAAATCAATTGAGCTTCTATTCTAGGTTAGTTGTGCCATTATGATCGAAGTAATGGAGCTACTAGCGCGTTCAAACAGCACTTTGGAAAATGATGTAGTATTCCTTTTTAATGGAGGTTATTTTTAATTTTGTTGCTGCAGGTTCAGTTTGAAAGTTTGGTCAAAATGTCAAGTTAGTTTTCCACGGGTTCTAATATTAACGATTTTCAGCTGAAGAAAATTTTCTTCAAGCTTCTCACGGATTTATTACTCAGCATCCATGGCGCCATTATATTCGCGCTTTTATCAATCTTGAAGGCGCTGGTGCTGGTGGTCGAGAAATACTGTTTCAAGTTATACAATTTTTAGTACTACTTTTACCATTACTTATTTTTCCGTCTATACACGCTTCATTAATTTAGGCAGGACCAAAGAATTCCTGGTTGTTACGAACATATTTGGAAAATGTCCCGTATCCACACTGTAGCGTTTTCGCTCAAGAAATATTTCAAGCAGGCATTGTACCATCGGATACGGACTTTAGGGTTTTTCGTGACTTCGGTCACATTCCAGGTGCAAACGGCTTTCAATATGCAAGCCGTACAAAAATAGTTTTTTATAGGGAGGAAACTACACTACGACTGTTGTGGACTCATTTTCTTTTCATTTTCAGGGCTAGACATTGCTTATTTTCGAAATGGATGGGTTTATCATACCGAATTTGATTTACCGTCTTATATTAAAAAAGGCTGTATTCAAAGAGCTGGTGAAAATATTTTGGCTTTGACGAAGGTATTCCTTATAGCCGTTTTCAAAGCTATTTTTCTTTGTAGTCAAATTAGGGAATTTAAGTTCAATTAGAGCAGATATTTAAAGAAGAGCTGCTGACTCTTTATCTGAAATTTAGTTAGGGCTGTTCATTTTATTATGTTTATCTCTTTGGTTTGCTTGTTCAAGGCTCTCATGTCATCGCCTAATTTGGAAAAACCCGTGTACGATGATAGCGGTGAATTTGTTTTTTATGACCTACTGGGTTTCTTTGCAATATTTTATCCCGCGTCTTATGGAGTTGTGCTCAATTATTTCACTGTTGCTTTGGTTCTTGGTATAGTTCTTATAAGAGTCCACAGTTGTATTTATGAGATTCATGACCTCTTAACTGCTTTTGTTCACCATGCCATTACTTCGGTTGCTATGTTAGGTAAGTTTGAAAGTTTAAATTCTTTGGATCAGTAGTTTGGAAATGGAACTTTTTTCCGGGCTTTTGCAGCTGCTAGAGTCGAGCCATTAATTAAAATTCATTTATTTGTAGCTTTTGGGCTAATAATCGTGACTGTAGTAACGAAAATGGGTTTGATAATGTGTTGGTATAAAATGCCTGAATTGGTTTTCCCGCTGTACATGTTTCCGCTATTATTAACCGGGTGTTCGGTGCATAACATTATCGCCCATCGCAGGAAGGTAATAATTAGAGTTCCACCGTATCAAACCAAAACTGCGTTTTGTCTTGCGTAAGATTTTTTGTTCTTTTATTCTGGGAAACTTCTGTTTCAATTCTCTGAGTACTTTAGATGCGTAATGGAGAAATGGTTCACTACGATAGCATGTTGGTAATATATGCTGCTTTACTGGCGCTGACTACTCTTTCTGGTTTTGCCAGTTCATTTTTCTTACTTATTCACGTAATATTTCCCCTTTTACGTGATCCTCTTTTATATGCACTTGGTAAATTACGTATTATTCGAGGTAGGTCAGCGTACATCAGACATTTTATTTTTTTGGGCTTTTTAAGTTCTTTAACGATGCAAATTTTAAGTGATTACTGTCGGGACGCTTCTGAAAATACAGTTGTTATGCACGTTACCAGTAATGGTGTTTGGAGGCTATGCAGTTATGCTTCTTTTCGAGTTCTTCGTTCCAGTGACTGGCCGTCTTGGAAATGCTGTTAATCCTGAATATATTGTCATGTTAACCGCTTTTATTACGACAACCGCTTTCATATTGTATACGGTAACTTTTGTTACTATAAGAACTTTTCACAAAAAACTGAATTGAATGTGGAACGTCACACTTTTTTTTTGGTTTTTTGGTAAACATCATCTGACAGTTACTTTTGCTCTGTGTTCAGAGACTCTTCGAACGTTTATATGAATATCATGGTTTCTCCCTTGACTGTTATTTTTGAATCTAGGTCTCAACTTCATAATAGCGACGTTTCGTTATTTTATTTTGGTCAAATTACCGAATTTTACGCAGCGTGAACTTTTGTTTTGAGATTTATTTTTCCG